TTTTGTCCATCCTATTAGACTAACTTCCACAGGTAACAGCTATGAACAGTGGCAAAATAAAAAATACAACTATTTAAAGATACTTGGGAGCAATCAAAAGCAGGCAGATACCAGAGGAGAGTCAGCAATTGGAAAGAGGGGTGATTGTTATTTTTTATGGCTCGTAGCCTGAGGGCAGGTTCAAGTTTGTGCCATGCAGGGGCAGACAGTGGGGATGGAATAGCTAAAATGCAGGGGGAGAAAGCTTTAGTCTAAGAGGTTTGAAATGTCAGAGGACAAAGTTTGAAGGCATCCACAGCCTCTAGAGGTGAGAACAAAATTCACCACAATTGAAAGCCAGAGAGGAAAACGATACACAAATTCTGTGGCTGAGCCCTAGAGCTTGAACTAAGCGTACAACGGAAGCCTCCAAGTAGCTTAACTTTGGCTAAAAGAACTGAACTGAGATTTGAGCTGCTGTCCTTTGCAGGGAACACAGTTTGTCATTTGAGTTCAGCCAATTTAACTGAGTGCTTAAAATCAAAACCCGAAGATTTCTAGAGGAACAAAATAAAATCCAGAGTCTCTACAATGTCTCATTGACAATGTCTAAGACATTCCAAAATTACTGTATATACAAAGAAACAGAAAAACATAACCCCTACTTAGGAGAAAAGACACTCAATTTAGACTAGTCCTAAGATGACCAAGATGTTGTAATTAGCAAAAGAGAATTTTAAGACAGTTATTCAAGATGTTTCTTGAGGAAATAGCTTTACAGAGTTAAAAGGGGAACCAACATAGGCCATTCCTACTAATCCACCAGATTTTTCATTTGTGGACTATGATTCATAAGAATTTGAAAAAAACCCAGGGGATGAAAGAAAGGGTTCAAGATTAGTAAATTCAAACAACTGAGCCCAGAGAAAACAGATATAATTTAGGGAACACAGGAGAACTTGAAAAAAATTCTAAGTAGTGTCCTTAAAGATATTCAAGGATTGATTAAATTTATAAAATAAGAAGAGGCCACTGTGAAAAAAGAACAATCAATAAATAGGAAAGAATTCTTAGAAATAGAAAGAGTAATGCATTTACTGAAGACCAAGAGTGTTCTAGGAAATGATATTTCTTAGAATGTAGAGAAATAAGATAAAAAGATGGAAAATATGAGAAAAACCCCTCCCGAGGCATGGACTATAGAACTAGGAAATTCAAGTTCCAGAATGCAATTTGCTTGAGTCAAAGACACACGTAAGCCATACAGGATTAGAGAGAAAACAAATACCCATGCCTAAATATAGTCTAGTAAAATTTTAGAATTTCAGGGATGAAAAGAATGTATTAAAATATTCAGCAATACATACACATGAACATATGCATGTACATGCATACATAAAATAAAACAAACAGCAGCAGATCATTACATTGGAATAAGAATCAGACTGATATCAAATTTCTCATCAGCAGTCCTGTATGCTAGAAGGCAACAGAGTAATACTGCATTCCTATTCTGGAGGAAAATGGTTTTCAACCTGAAAACTTTTCTATTTAGACAATTGACAGATAAGAGGGCTAAATACAGACATATTTGGATCAGCATCAGAAAGCTTAGTGCTCACGTATCCTTTAAAAATTACTTCAATAAAATGAAAAAAACACATAAGAAGGAGTGCAACATGGGTTATAAGAACCATAACGATGTGAAATTTCAGAAAATAAAAGTATAAGTACAGTTCATACAATTCATGCTAACCACCAGGGGAACACACGCCAGATGCTGTTGACAGCATTGCTTCTCATGATAAAATGCAAAGATTTTTTACTTTGCATTTTATACTCTTCTGTAGTATCTGCGTTTATTTTTGTTTTGAATACAATTACTTACAATAAAAAAATTAATAAACCTTTTAAAAGACACGCCCCCCCAATCTAGCAGTACTTATTTTCTAAGCATGTTGTCAATTTTTTTCTTAAAACGTTTAATAAGAAGAGGAACTTGTCCATTTATTTTAGGGTAGTTATAAAAAAAGTATAGGTTGCTACCTAAGGCAAGTTTAAAAATAAATCATTTCAGCCCTGGCTGGTGTGGCTCAGTGAATTGAGCACTGCCCTATGAACCACAAGTTCACTGGTTTAGTTCCTAGTCAGGGCACATGCCTGCGTCGTGGGTCAGGTCCCCAGTTGGGGCTGTGCAGGAGGCAAGCCGGTCAACGTTTCTCTTCCTCTTTCACCCTCCTTCCCCTTCTCTCTAAAAATAAATAAATAAAATCTTAAAAGGGAAAAGAAAATCATTTCAGAAAAATCTTTCATTCATTCAGCACACATGCAAAAATAGTAAGATGTAGACATAAAAATAGGACTTTCATGTTTTCACAATAATCTGAAAGTAGATTTTACAAATTATAACAAAGCATGCATTCTTTCTGCTTCAAAATGGTCTCTGGAGGTGCTGTCCAATGCGGTAGCCACTATATGGCTGTTGAGACTTGACATGTGCCTGGTCCAAACTGAAATGTGCTGTGAGGGTGAAATGTACATCAGATTTCAAATACTTAGTATAAAAAGCTGTAAAATATCTCATTAATAATTTTAAAATATTGATTATATGCTGAAGGGATATTTTAGATGCCCTGGTTAAATTAGAATTAACTTTATTCTTTATTTTTACCTTTTGAAATACGGCTGTTAGAAAACTTGAAATCCCACATGTGGCTCTCATTTGTGGCTTGCATTATGTTTTTATTAGCCCTGGTCTAAAGCACCCAAATATCCCTTATGGTGTATGTCCCCCTTATTGTTCAAATGGGGTTTCTACAAAGGGTGTTTTAAAAGAGAAAACTAACATTTTGACTTTTATTTACCAAGAAATCCCCCTGGCTATGAAGAAAGAATCAATGCCAACAATATTAGAATAAGACAGAAAACAGGAAGGCAGGAGAATAGGGAACATACTTGGAAGAAGAAATGCCAGTTCTAATATAAAAGAGTTTTGTTGGATGAATGACTTCCAGTAAAATATTTTCCTTTAATGCATGTACTCTTCTAATACCACAAAGTATTCCTTTTGCTATCATGTTCCCTTAATACTTTCTTTACGAAATGTCATTCTAGCTAGAAATATTCTACCTACAAGTCCTCCTTAGAACTTTCCTACATATACATTGCTGATATTTTTTATGGTAGGGAATGTAGCTACATCGATGTAGTAATTATTGCAATATTCTAATTCTGTTCAAAGGCCCTACAGTGGTTCAAATATGGGGAATATATTTCAGAGCAGAGTTTATCTCAACCCTAGCAATTGTCTTTCAAACAATATTCATCATTGTGTCAAATGAACTTATCTTTCCTGACCCATCTGAAAAAGTCACTTTTATCAGTAGAGATACTTTCCTATTGAAGCTGGATGATTAACTTATTTCCTGAGAAATGTTACAGTACATTTGTGCTCTCTGTTTTGTCACTATAGATCATTTGTCACTTTGAATTTTCATTTGTCCTATGGGAATACTGCCATGAAATATGAAAAACAATAACAACATTAATCAACAGTGTAGTTCTGTAGAAGGTAAAAGAAACAATTAAGTTGGGAGTGGAGTTAGAGTTTTCTTTACAGTAATCAAAGGATCGTGGAAGGAAGAGAAAAGAGGATGTTAAAAAAAAATCCCTCAGACCCAGTAGAAAGTAGAAGTCCTTTGTGCCACTTATGGTAAAACAAAAACAAAAACAAAAACGTGTGTGTGTGTGTGTGTGTGTGAGGAAAAGGTGGTGAAAGCTTTTATTTTTACATTCTATCAACCCTGTATAAGATAATTGTTGAGGCCAAATACCTTAATAATCACTTAGGGTTAGACAATCCAGCATCTAGGCCAGCAATTAGCAAATAACAGGCCTTCTATAGATATTTGTTGAATGAGTGAGAAAACCCATGACTTACAGCTCTGTTCATACTTCCATTTTAAATAAATAGCATGAGATGTTGTGGCTTCCTTACTGATATGGCTAGGTACTTTATAGAGACAGAAATTTGTCCTTTGTTCTTGCTGCTGTAGATGTTTTTCCATTTCCCAAGGTGAGAATGTAGCTAAATCTTGCACCCCTTTGCCTGTGTGCCTCTTGTGTTCCAGCAGAAAGCAGCAGTTGCCAGGCAGGAGAAGGCAGCTCCTCAGGCTTCTGTTTGCAATAGGCTTGGCTCAGTGAGAATACGTAGAAAGTGAGGATGACAGAGGTGAGCGCCTGGAGTTTAACCGGGGGAAGCTGTGGGATCCCAGGGGAGAGGAAGATTTCTGAGACTAAGAGATGGGGTAGGGTTCGGGGGGGCAGGGTTTTGTGCTGGTCAAAGATGCCAGCACTGCTTGTGGGTGTCACCCTCTTAGGGGACTGGACAATGCCAGGCTGGTGAAATCCTGTTTTGTTGTCATGGGAGCCAGGGAACCAATGTCCTCTGCCTACCTTCAGGACACCACAGGGGAATGGAAAGTGAGCTGATTGGAGACCAGTGTGGACAGTGGCCTCGTGAACCCTTGTCTCACTCTTTCCACCAGATACATCCCGGCGCCTTTAGCTGAACCTGAGGAGGTGAAGAACACTACCAATGAAGAGGATTCAATTTCCCACCAAATGGATGGTTGGAAGCTCAACGAAGAATAAAACAGTTAAAAGTGAATTTCAGACTTACTATAAGGATACAATTCATGCATGCACTCATTTAGACAATGACCAATCCAGAGTACAATATGAGAAGACAAACTGTCAACAGAACCTAAGAACTAGATGTGACTTCTGTGTTCATCTAGTCAGACTTTTCATTTCTGGACCACAAAACCAAGGTTTAAGATTTAAAAAAAATTGTTCCAACTTGATTCGGAGCTGAGGCAGTTGGTCTTCATCCTTTAGTCTACTTTTCTATCTACCTCATCACTTGAGAAATTCAGATCTTTTTGTAGCAATTAAAGTACATTATCATTTCATCATGGCCATGAATAGCCCTTATCAAAGTAAAATCTCCTAATTAATCTCCTAATGAAATAAAGAAATTAGAACTTTAAAAATATCCAGCTCTGATAGTTGATGTAAAAAAAAAAAACCCCAAAACCCTATGGGCACATAGATTTTTCTTATTCTCCATCATAGAAATTGTGGGCAAATGACCTGAGCTACAACTAAAGTAGCTGATATTATGGTACCTGAGAATTAAAAAAATCTCTTTCTCAGGCATTTTCAGATATAGATATGTGTATGTATGCGTTGGCTATCAAACACCTGGTAGACATTTGTTTTCCAGAATGTATATATGTTTGTATTAAACCTACTTAATGGCTGAAAAAACAGATGTATTAAACCTTCCAACTAGGTCTTAATTCTTAAGAATCACCTTATATGCGTCTACTTCTAGTCTAATTTTCCCCCATTGTCCAGTCTTCTTTGATCTATGTCTTTGCCACACCTTGAAACTTTTTGATCTTTGCAGGCAAAAGGCTGATTGGAGTTTGTCTCCTCATTTCTCTCCAGATGCCTGTGCTAGAGAGCACGCCTGTCCTCCGCACGCAGCTCCTTTCCAGCCAAATGAGAAGCCTGCCCCCTGAGGAGGAGACCTAACTCAACAACCTGGGTGTTCATTCATCAGTCAGCCCGGCAGCTGTCCCGGGGTCACTGTGAGTTCCTGCTCTGGGCACACTCGAAAGGAAGAGTGTGATGCCCACGTGGTGAAACTGTCCTTGGAATGCTGTGTCGCTGACAGAAGCCGCTTCACTGAAGGTTGGCCCGGTGTGTCTGCCCTTCTTCAGCCGTCTATTCAGATGCTCCCATAGGATTCTCTCTGCCAGCAGGGCCCATAGCGAACGAGGGTAAATAGCAGCACTGCCAGGATACCAGACACGAGGAAAAAGGCAACAGCAAGGACGATCCTTAGAACTGTGGGAAAATAGGAGGAGCATTAATGTAAAATTAACAGATTAGAAAAATAGGAAGATCACCAATCAGTGTTGATTTCTGCCTTAAATGTGTCAGCGGCATTTCTGAAGCAGCCTTGACATCAGCATAGTGTGGTAAAAAGAGCACAGGGGTCAGGAGATGGCCGAGGTCCCAGTTTCAGCATGACCTTTGACCTGTGGGCCTCTGCTCCTCCACTGTAAAGGAAGGGCAATTGACTAAACTATTTCTAAAATCTTCTAGGATTAACCTCACTGTATTTTTCTGCAAATAAAATTATCAATTGTTCTACAGTTAAAATTATTGATTATTCATGGTCTTAGGGTCAAAGAAATTTCTGAATACTCAACTGCAATCACTAATTGGTTCTAAAAGAAATGGAATATCATCTTTTGGTCTTTGAATTTGATTTTTGGTAAATACCTTTTAAAAAGGAAGCTTTGAGTACATGTTGACTATGGTAAGCATTTTTTAGGACAACTGCATACTATTGCTAATCTGTACCTTTATTTACACATATCCCTTTGACAGCTCACTGGTCAGGATCCAGATATAGGGGGTCGTTCTAAATGAGACGCTGTTTATTATTTCATCTGGAAAGTTACTCTCCCCCCACCATACACACATATCCTAGTCCACTATAGTATATGCACCATAAATATCAGTTTGTAGCATCTTTAAATGAATGTCTGATTTTTATTGTAAAAATATGGACCTGCTCATTGGTGTAGGCAAAGGGAGGGCAAACATCTCTCTGATCCTGGCAGCTCAGTCTACAGAACCCTAGTGCTCCATGGAACACAGTTGAAAATCACTTATTTAGCTTAACTTTGTCATTGTAGAGATGATGAAAATGAGACGTGGAGAGATAAGATAATTCGGCTAAGGAAAAGCAGATAATTGCATTTGGGTTGGGATACATGGAATCTTATCAGTCATATAATTTTGAAAGCCATCTATTCACTAATGACTTCAAATTTAAATTTTTCCCAGACTCAAGACTCATACATCCAACTGCGTCCTCAACTTATTTCCTTGGACATCTAATAGGCATTCCAAAACTAGACTCCCAACCCCCGGGCACTCCTACCTCCCCAACCCCCTGCCCCCTGATCAATTCTGTTCCTCCTGTAGCCTCCCTACCTCAGCTGATGGAAACTTCCTTCTCTCAGTGTCTCAGTCCAAAACTCTTGTAGTTGTCTCTGACTCCTCTTTTTCTCTCACATCCTATACTGAGTCTGTCAGGAATCCTGTCGGTTCTATCAAAAACTGTATCTGGAAGCCAGCGATTTCTCCCCTTCTCTGCCACCACCCTGCTTTGAACCACCGTCTTTTGCCAGGATTACTACAATGCCCTCCCGACTTCCTCCCTAGCTCTATCTTTTCTTCCCTCCAATCAATCTATTTTTAGCACAGCAGCCAAATGACTTCCAGTCAAATCATGGCACTCCCCTACTTAAAGTCTGGAATGAATGCTCATCTCACTTGGAATGAAAGTCCAAGTCCTGATAATAACAGTTTATGAGACTCTTCATCAGCTGGCTTTATTAACTTCCTGGATTTAGTCTGCTACCTCTCTCCCTTCACTTATTCTCTTTAGGCCACAAAGGCCTTCTTGTCGATCCTCAAACAAGTATGGCCAGGCACACTCCACCATACTGCCTTTGCTATGCTATTACCGATGTCTGGATGCTCTTCTCATGTACCTCTGCATCGGGCAACTGCATCGCCTCCTTGGCCCAAATCTCATCTTTTCATGAAGGGCTTTCATTTAAAGGTACAACCTATATGCCCTCTCCCCACACCAATTTCCAGCCTGGTTCCTGTGATCATCACCTTCCAAAGTATTTATTTAACACGTGTATTATTTATTGTCCATCCTCTTCTCTCTCTAATGGAGTGTAAGCATCATGAAGGCAGGGAATTTTGTCTTTTTTGTTCATGAATGTACCCCAAACACTTAGAACAGTACCTGCCCCATAGCACGTGCTCCATAAATATTTGTGAAATGAATTAATCATCTAGAACACCTGGGTTCCCCACTCTTAGTCCAGTGCTTTTCTCATGATGTCAGGATGCCTCTTAGCATCATGAGAAGGTGAATATTAATAAAATTAGGTCCTGTGGCTGGGTGCCATTAGTACTGATGATAGAGTTAATGTAAAGTTGGAGGGGACTAAATGGAATTGAGGATGAGAGAAAAGGACTAAATGGAAATGAGGGAGGAAGGCAGAGATGAATAGAATGTTCATGACTGACTTTCTGTATTTGGAAATTATTTTCAATGATTGTTTTGGCTATGCTGTTGTGGTGGTTCCGCGGAACATGATTCCCCCTCCCCTTCCTTCATGCTTTCCTAGGCATGCAGTGAGCACACACCACATGCCAGGCCAGCTGTGTATTAGGTTCTGGGGTTCCATGGTCCCTGCTCTTGAGGAGATTCAATACCTCGTGGGAGAGTCATATAGACAATTATGATAGAGTGTGATAAATAGCAAAATAGGCGTGTAAAAGATATGCCATTGGAACAGAGAGGAAGTTGCAAGTAGCACAAAGTAGCTAGTCAGAAGACAAAGAGTTTGGAAAGTCTTCTGAGAAAGTAGTAAGATTTGAGCTTGTCTGTGAGTTAAAGTAGATTTTGCTAGGAGACAGAATGGGTAGCACAAGAGCAGGTTTGGGAAATAACAGGCTCTTGCATGTGACCGGTATAAGTTATGGTGAGGTGAGACCAGAGATGTAAGTTGACGTCCAGGTTTTAGAAGTTCTGATTTGTCATGGGGCAAATGGAAATCATCAACAATTACTACACATGGATGTGATGTGGCCCAATTTGTGTTATTAAAAAAAGACAAAGCCAAAACAACTCAAACTGTGGGCAAAGATGTGACGTTGGAGACACCATATACCTGACTGAGAGCTATTAAAATGCCTTTGACAAAATTCTGAGCTATGAACCTGAGAATGCAGGTGAGGGAATTCAAGAGATACTTCTGAAGTTGGATTGACAGGCTTTGTGATGAACTAAATATACTGGTGAAGAAGTTGTAATGAATGTCACCCTGTGAATTCTACCTTTTGTGAATGAGATGACTAGGCTGTGAATTGAGATTAGAAGCACACTGAAAAGGATCAGTTTGGAGTAGAGGAGGTAAATTTTGTTTCATATGAAGGAATGAAATAGGTTATTATCATGGTAGAGATGATCAGCAGGCAGCTAGAGAAAACAGGTCTAGAATCCCATATGTAGATGTGGAAATAAGGACTCTGTACATAGGAGATGGAGGCCTGGGTAGCACTGGCTTATGGTGAGTGTGGAATGAGAGAAACAAGCACAGGACCCTGGGTTGTAATCATGTAGGAGGTCAGGGAAAGGTGTTAATCCAAGAGAAACTAAGCAAGGAGTCTGAGAGCAAAGAGAAGATTCAAGAGATTCTCTCCCATGTTTACTTTTTAAATTGTATGTTCCCTATACTGTAAAGGATTTGGTGAGTGTGACAGAGTATGTTCTAGAATCTTGAAAAGAGATCGTGGTCAATTATATCTTCCTGCAAAGAGGTCTAGTGCAGGTAATGACGGAAAGATGTCCTTCCATGTGGGGACACATGAAGGCTACCCAAAGCAGTATGAATTGGTACTGCATTTTGAAAACAATTTTGGCAATATACATCAAGAGCCTTTTCCTCTTGCCATTAATCTCCAAGTCCCATCTACTAGATCTATTCCCCCACTTTGAGTAAGTCTGATTTTTCCCTCACTCACCTTGGATTATTATAACAGCCTCCCAAGTGCTCTCCCTGCCCCCAATCCACTCCTCTCCTATCTGTTCTCCTTTCTGAAGCCAAAGAGGTCTTTCTAAAAGCAAGAAGCCAGTCACATCCTCTGTCTTCTGCCTGAAACCTTTTAATGACCAGAGTTACTCAACCTGACCTATGAGTCACTTAATGCCTGCCTCTCCAGCCTTTTATTCTCACCAGATAAAATTTTTCCATTTTCTAAAATTCCCCATGCTGACTTTAGCCTCTTGGCTTTTTACACATTTTCTCTCTCTTGTCTGTAACACTCTCCTCTCTCATCTTCATTCATCTGGTTAATTCCATCTTTCTTTTAGGTTTTGGTTTGAACATTCTCCCCAGTTGAGAAGCCTTCTCTGGCCCCTTAGACTTAGGCTAATTGCCTTTGTCTGTCCTTTATTATGGTACTCACCACAGGTAATGATAAGGGCTTGTTTAATTCTGTCTCCCTCCCCTCCTTGCCTGCTTTCCTCCTCCCTGCCAAAGCCTACAAGCTTGCCTTGTTGCTGTTTCCTCAGCAAACTTAATACTTGCTACATAGGTACATACAGAGTACATAATAGGTAGTCAATATATACCTATTGTTTGATAAATATTCATATAATTTGACCCACTAATCCTGTTTTCGGGAATTTGTCTGAAGGAAACAGTCCACGAGACAGTGTGGGATGGAAAGGGACTTTGTGATATAATAGAAATGTAGTGTTGGAAAGAGTTAGGTTTGAATCCTGACCCTACCTCCTGTGGCACGTGATTTTCTGAGGCTCAGTATTTTTCTCTGCAGAATGGGGGTGTGTGATGTTGACAGGAAAAGGAAAAGAGGCTGCTGAGTTAGGTACTGATGGTTTTCAAAAAGGAAGTTTCAGAAAACATGAAGGATGAGTATCTTTTTACAGAATAGTGCAGGAGGGAGAGGGGTATGAGAAAATAGAGGCAGAGCATGTAGATCAATCGTTCGAGAACATTGGGACTGAAGAGGGCAAGATGGAGCAGGCACTGGAGGGTGGGTACTCTGATGAGAGATTTGGGCACTTTCATCGTTGAAGGGTTGGGGCCTTCTACCGTGGAACACAATGAAGCTAAGTGAGAGATTCATTGAGGCCCCAGGAGACAGAAGGATTGGACCATATGCACAAGGCAAGGGGTTAGCTTACTCGAGGAAGAATGTATTTTCCTGAGGGACAGCAGTAA